TGCTTGGCCCCCGCTAATGAATTTAAATACCAAACTGGCCCTCGCGGCAAAAAGTTTGGACGCCTCTGATGTAAGATGTTGATGATTATCTGAAGAATAATAAGTTATGTATTTCAATTGATATTTCCGTCAATGCCATCTGTACGCGTCACGTCTTCGTAATCGTCGGCATGATCTGGCTGTTATCGACGTCCGATTTTCGGTCGCGGCACGCGCAACAAGCAATTCCTTGAAGATGTTGGAAAGAGTTACGCAAGTGGCGATAAGATGTACCGAATTAAGTAAAAAATGTACGTATGTGCCGAATTGAATAATCTCCGAAGACATAGTAAGCGATGAGTAAGAGGAGAGAGAGAGAGAAAAAAAAAGAAGGCTCTTATCGAACAGATTAAGAGAGAAGCGAAACGGATTTCGGGTGTTGCATCGCTCATCGTAATCACTTAGCTCTGATGAAACTATGGACTTTATGTAAAGAACATCAGGTGTTGTTGTTGTTGATGTTGCTTAACAAATTGCTAAATTATATATTACATAATTTACTCTTGATGAGTCTAAATTAAACTGTTTGCGTTAAATTAATTAATTTTTATGATATTGATTTTCAGATTCATTTGAAATCACGTGCAGAATCAATTAACGTAAGTCCGTTTTCGTTTAGTTTAGTTTTAATTACTTAGTGTGTGGACAAAACAATAGATGTCAGTTAATCAATTTAAATTACAAAAATGTGTTTAGTTATGCAACTTTTATTTGTTATAAAAACAAAAGTACAATGATTAAGGATTTTTTTGAATTAAGAATAAAAAAAGACTTGCGTAAATAAAAAAAAATTGACTAACGTATATTTATACAACTAGTAGATTACATACATGAGTAAAACGATAATAATAAAATGTTAATAAAGTAAAAGAATGTAAAGTAAAAGAAACGGTGTGGAAAAAGTGTTAGTGGTGTAAAAATAGATGCAGTACATACATATAAGATGAGTTAATACTAGAGATATATATCAGGAGAATATGCATATTCAAGTCTTTCAAGTTGTGTGCGACGTCACCTGAAGACGTTCACATTACCATATTTTCTTTGCATTTTGTTTTACTTCTTCTCCGGATTTATGGAGGCGCCGTCTTCGAGGCTCAAATGGGGTTTGAAAAATTACGTTTCGCATGGAATAAATAAGCGACGATGATGATGATGATGTGATGGGTGATGCAATCTCTTTCTTCTCCTCACCCTTCTTTTTACACCGACACCATCATCTGCATAACGAGGTGATTCTTAATGAGTCTTAATGGAAACGTGTTTTTATTTCTCGCTTCTCTCTCTCGCCTTAGGCAACCGCAGCTTCCGGCATGACGAAGAAGTTGTCGAAGCGGAAGTCGCGATCCAAGAGACGCATCGTCCAGGTGACGACGGTGAAGACGGCCGCGTTCACGGGGAACGCGCGTACCAGCGCCGGAGTTAAACCTCTGAAGAGGAAATGCGGTCCTTCCGCCGCCAAACTTCTGCGTAGGCAATCGACGGCTCCGGTGTACTTGGGGTCGTACTGCAGCCGTGATTTGAGCACGTCCACCGGATACGTGAGCGTCCAGGAGACGACTCCAGCCAGACCGCCGCAGAAGAGCATCCTCGACGTGCTGACCGGAGCACCGTCTCGCGTCCGCGAAAGGTACTCGTAGGTGAGGAAGTACGAGCCGAAGGCCGGAACCTCTCTGGCGACGGTTATCCCCAAACCTCTGAAGACGCCGCGGAATCCTTCCGTCCGGTAGATCTTCTGCATGCAGTCCAGAGGGCCGAGCTGATCGTGCGACATCTGCACCTTCAGCTTGGCCAACTCCATCGGACTGGCGAGGACGCTCTGGAAGAGACCGGCAGCGGCGCCGGCGAGGAAATGGGCGGTCAGAGCGTCGGGATCGGCGAAACTTCGTTGCGTGTTTCCGTAGATGCCGAAGATGACCGCGTTGATGCCCGCGACACCGGCCAACGGCGACGACATCCCTCTGTAGAGACCTCGAAGACCTTCCTTTCGCACGATCTGCCGGATGCAGTCCATGCTGCCCTTATACTGCGGACTACGGCCATCCTGCGTCTGCAGGTGGACCTTCACAGTGTCCAAAGGGTGTCCAACTATTACACCAGCGCATCCTGAAACAATACAAACGCAATTCATAAATCAAAACTCGTAAATTGTTTAACACATTGACGACGGCATGACCCAATTATAAATAATAGTTTTGTTGTTGTAATTGACTTAAGATATTTGAGGTTATTCTCAGTCAAAATCAGTGGCGTACATAG